GGGATTCTCCAGCTGGGTGGAAATAAAGAAGAGGAGATAACGTGAAGAAAAGAAAACCAGAAAAAGTAGACCAAAGTCGGGTCAGTCTCGTCTGTCTGTCTGCCTGTCAGCAACCCCGGCGCCCACTTTTTATATTTTTCTGTTGTTGGGGGCGCAATAAGTGGCCCGCTGGGCGGTGGAGGCATGCCCATACCATTGACTTGCTGCATCCGCCGGCCGGCCGGCAGCTGAGGCAGAGCTTCTTCTACCACCGCCAACATGCAGGTAATTTCAGTGGCAGAAACATTTTTACCGTGATGTGATTTTGTCTGGTTGTCTCCTTCAGTTTGCATTTGGTGGTCCATTAATGGCGGAGAGGAGGCCTTGACTCGTGGCCGTGGGGTATTGATTGTTGTTAAAGAGTGGTATAAGTTCCAACATAATTGAAAGTACCTGTATCATTTTTCTATAATATAAATATATAATAAATAAATAAGTATTATTAAAACTAATAATATCAAAATAATTCATTGATAGATAGTAATGAAATACTAGACTAACACAATCATTATTTTCATGAGCACTTACAATACGTTTTCAAATTCTCAATGTATCCGACTAAGCAACCATTAGCAAATTAGTCGCAATTCGACTTTGAAACTTGTTTTTGATATAGCTCAAAGCTGAAAATGTTCTTTTTACACTTGCAGTTGCAACGAGTAGACTCAAAACTAACTACAGAAAACAAAGAGATCGATTTTTTAGTATTGTGGATTTTGTTTATAGTGTGATAAATTAGTTTATATTAGCTTTTAAACTTGAAATAACTTGTAGTGTAGTGATAATTCACTTTTATATTACCTAAAGGTGATTACTGCAATCCTTAATTGATACATATATATGGGTATTTTATTTTAACCAAAAGTTACCTGTGTCTCGGGACACATCCAATTGGCCTTGGCTCCGCCTATGAGCATAACCTTCTACCTACAACTCGAATTACTGGTATTAAGTGGTTTATGATATTAATAGTTGATTAAAACACAAGGTATGTTGGGACAGTGCAAACTTCAAGCCCATGTGTTGACTTTCGTTTGAGAATGCGTGTTAGAGAGTAGTATAAGATCCAACATAACCTTCTCCCAACAACTTAAGTTATTAAGACCAACTTGTTTATAACAATGGTGCATTTAAATACTTTTAGGAAAGGATGAATAAGTTTGGCTTTAGCCCCAACTACCTTAGCTCCCAATATTCCTACACTCCAACACAAGCTTTATTAAGGAGGGCAATTTCTACATGACACGTTTTATTAGATTTGTTTGATCTATTTTGGGTGGGTAAAATCTGCTTCGTAGGCGGGGCATGGCGGACATGAGTATTCTCGTTGACCTAACATGCTATGATCCGCCTCATTCTCGATCAATTTTTGCCTAAATTACATGTAATTTATTCAAATGACCTAAGATTTTATGATGAAACTGTAAATAAGCGACAACCTCATATTCTCAAATAATTTAACTATATTTATCGTATTATAATTTATTTTTTGGTTTTTAACAAAAATGTAAATATTTCTAATGTTTTCTTTTAATTTACATACCCATATAGATCGACTTGCCCCGAGCTGTATCTCGTGATAAATTAGTCGATCTGGACCCGACCTGTCACGAGGCGAATATGTTTATCGAGATACCCGCCCCGGACCTGTGCTATTGCCATTCCTAGTTCTGGGCCAGTTGGGACGAAGTCTTTACCTTGCTAAAACCGTATCATATCGGTTGTCCGGCCGAAAAAGCTCCTAAAGGAACATAAGTCGCTATAAAAAATTATCGATATGAAATAGTTAGCTCATGATTACATCACGATTTAAACAAAAACAACCTACCGACTGATTTATCCGATATAACCATTGATACAGTTTTACATCATTGATTTCTACTAAAGGACTCTTCTCCCTAGTCCGTAAAATTTTGTTGATGATTGGATTCACATTTATTAAATAATTTTCAATTTTGGATATCATTTGAATGTATCTAAAATAATCATGGCTTGTAACACAATCATTCATGGATGAAACATCAATTATTCTCCAATAGAAAAATGGAAATTAACCATATAATCAAGTAAATAAATATATCTGGTAAAATATGAAACCAAAAAATCATAAAAATCAAAAGTCCCAACAACCACAAGCACTGCTGGATGACATGGCACCCCCTTTGCTCCTTCCTTCCTTTTTTCTTTTCTTTATTGACTCTTTCTCTTTCCCAATAAGATTCCACCGCCACGTGTCACTGTCTATCTCCACCATTTCCAGTTTCCATCCTTTTCTTTCTTTCTGAATCCAATGAAACTAATCTCCACCCAACACATCCCACTTATTGGTCAATTCTAATTAACTTCCCTAACCACCCCTTAATTATCATTAACGCGACTCTACCTTTTCCTTACATCTATTATATTCCTCATTCGGCGTAAAATATGAAGATACAGTTTGGCTAATAATGTACTACATTACTATTTTTTTTTAATAATTTGTACTACATTACTATTGAGGTGGTAACAACCAGTCAAAATCAAATAAAAAAATCAAATTTCACTATAATTTTAGTTGTAAAAATTGAGGAGGAGTTACTTGTAGTTCAAAGGGCTATAATTCTCTTAATGTATATATAGTATGTGGTTACATTATGTGTATGCATGCGAAAAAAAAGAAGAAAAACGGTAATTTAACGTCAAACTATAAGCTCCAGTGGTGGAGTTGAGGCAGAAATTTGAATGAGAAGCTGATTTGAACGATGGTAATAGGGGAGGGGGTTTAAAGTCTTACCAACTACTCTATTTTTTTAATTTTATTACAAATTTTGCGTGTAATTTTATCTATATTCCAAAGTTGAAAGGGGAGGGCTATAGACCCTTCTAACTTCAACCTAGCTCCACCATCGATAAGCTCCTTTGCCAAAACCTGCAGGTTGCTGGATCCTAGGGGTGAAAGCTTGTCCCTGAAGACCCACTGACCCGTCCCGACCCGTCCCGTCCCTAAGGGTCGGGACGGGTCAGTTTGTCTACAGGGACAGATTAGGGACGGGTCATTTGTTGACCCTGTCAGGGCCGGGACGGGTCGGGACAACTTAGGGACGGGTCACGCTTTGACCCTGTGACCCTTAGCAACAACAAATATCTCATACTTCATTGGACCTTTTTGTAAAGTTTTAAAAGTTTGGGTACTAATTTGTAAAAATAAAAAAATTTGGGTACCAAAATGTAATTTTACCATCAAAATTTATGGACTTATTTGTAAAATAAATAAATTTTAGGTACTAAATTGTAAGAAAAAATAATTTTGGGTACCAAAACGTAATTTGTAAAAAAGTAGTGTGTTGATTAGGGTCGACCCACTGACCCGGCCCGTCCCGTCCCGTCCCAACCCTTGAGGGTCAGACAGGGTCAAGAAGGAGACAGGGACGGGACGGGACGGGACGGTTATACATCTTGACCCTTCAGGGACGGGTCAGACAGGGACAGGGACGGGACAGGGACGGGATAGGCAAATTTTCAGCCCTACTGGATCCTCATCCAAACTCGAAATTCCATTTCACCATCACAATAAGTATAGACTAATTTAAAACATACTACACTGAGTTGCACAGTTCAATCGGTATCAAAGTCAGGTCTTAGAGTGCAGCAACATAATGAAATTGAAATCTGGTCTTTGATCAGTCTGGCTCATAACACTATCTCATCACTTTTCAATGTATGATTAGCATATGGTTACACCATTACAGAATATATTATTGGGTTATAGGTATAATATGCCCCTTTATTATGACATTTTATCAAACATGCCTTTTTACTATTTTTTACATCAAACATGCCCCTATAATTTTGAATAACTATCAAACATGCCCTTCAGTTGACATTTCCATTGGAAGAACCGTCAATAATGATTGAGCCGATATTCAGACGACCTGACATCGACAAATGGGAAGGGAAATGTCAGTTTTGACCCTTGTTTTATTTCTCTGGGTCTCGTCAAAGTGAAATTTTTAGAATTATTTGGCTATACAAAAGAACCAAAAAAACTCTAAAGTGAAATTATTAGGGATATTTTAGATATTTGGGTCGCCCAAACCAAAGTTCGGTCTTGGTTAACGGTTTTTGGATGAAAAATTTAACAAAAGGGCATGTTTGGTAATTTTTCCAAAGTACAGGGGCATGTTTGATGTAAAAAATAGTAAAGAGACATGTTTGATAAAACGTCATAGTAGAGAGGTATATTATACCTATAATCCTATATAAAAAAAAAAATTTCAAATATACCACCACTGAGTTGCACTACTGCTATGAATGCTGAAGTCAGGATTTAGTGTAGTACCCTCTTGAATAGCGCAACTCGAAGTCTTCTGATAAAGAGACTGATAGCCTACCATCATTTAAGTTTGCAATATCTAATTAGTAATTAACTAATTACCATATAATCACATAACCCGAAATCGAACTACTACAATTTTTCTTTATTTTTAAACCCGTTCTAGTAGGCTTCACCATTGACCATGCTGAATTGGGAGTTAGTTAGTTGGTGAGGTAATTGACTTTGTAACGCGTACAAGAAACGGTAAAAAAAAACAAAGCTTGTAAGGAAGGAGGAAGCTGCAAAAGAGTGGAACACCAAAATTGGATTCAACGGGTTAAAGAAAGAACGAACAGCCGGGATGCATGTAAATTGTAACGTAAAATAGTTTTTCTGTTTGTCCTTCCTTGATCGGACGGTCGATATTCCATCGGACGTTGACGTGGGATTTGGTTCCACATGTGCAGCCAACATAAGGCCCGGCGGAAAAATAATTATTATTTTATAGAATAAACATAAAAAAAAACAAAAATGAAAAACAAATTGCTTCTCCTGATAAATATAAAGTGATAATAAATAATCAACCCTTTCACACCCACGCGCCGCTGTTGTGTAGGTCCTCTCCACGTACGAATAAAACAACGGGACAGTGCTTCTCGTACTTTATCTGCTCCACCTCAGCCAACCCCAGCCTTTTCAACCCAGCCCCCTAATCACGCGCCGCCGTAAGCGCGTGGACTGTTTTCCTCCTTCCCTCACGCGTGACCATCTCGTACAAGCATCCTTCTCTCTCTCTTTCTCGCCCAAAACTAACAACAACAAAAGCGAAGGAGAGCTAATCCCTGGCCTCTCTCTCTCTGCATCTTTGGATTCTCGTCCTCGCAGAGAGAAATTCTTCTCCCTGCTGCTTCCTTTCTTCGTACTCGGGCCGTGGCCGGCCCCTCATTCGGAAACCCTAGATGCTTCTGCTGCTGCATCTTCTTCCGTTATCCACTCCTCGCTGCTGCCGGTAAGTTCTCTTTCTTCCCTTCCTTGTTTCCTGCGCTTCGTCTTTTTGGAATTTCGTGTCCTCGAGTTCGCCGGAAGGCCTTTTCTACGTAGCTCAGATCCGTTACTATTTCCTTGTGGTATTCCTGCTTTCGGCATCGGACTCGGTTCCCGTTTCCATGACGCGCTCTGGTTTTGACGCTCCCTCCGTCACCGTGGTAGTGCGAAATTCGAGAGTTGTTTTTTTAAGCGGGTTTCGGCATTAGCGGATTCGCTTTTTGTTTCTATGTTTGACGTTTTTTCGGGGGAATAATTGTGGTTTCCACGTTGAATTCACGCAATGTATGTAGAATGCCCGGTGGAGCTCTGTTGCATTGTTTACGGGACCTGTTTGGATGACGATGGAGCGGTTTTTCCTTTTTTACTCCCGGAGTGTGTTTCTCGAATTTCAGAAGGGAGCTGTAAAATGGTGAGTGGAGGAAAGGGTTTATGATACTGATCTTCTCCTTCGAGGTTCCCTTTGATTTCCAATTGGAGGTTGTTTACTCCAATCTTTGTTCTAGTTCGCTAGGCCTTTTCTCTTTTTCTTTCTCGAGAAGTTTCGATTCCAGCTGCCTTACTGCTGGCGTGAGTATGGGCTGGGACGATTTTGTTGGTGGAGTATGTGCGGTTTCATTGCTTATTTTGTCTTTTACCAGTATCCGCATTCGGCATTCAATCTACAGCGCATTCTTTGTTTTTTCGATGATTGAAGGCGGCAAATTGAGGACTCTTCGTCCCCGCTTCTATAGATTATGTCTGTGATGAACTCACTCTAATTAGTTCTTCTGTTCTTTTTAGCTCTCCTTTTTGTCTTTTGCCCCTTCATGGGTAGACAAAAGCTGGTTGGGTTCCGTGAAATTTGATTGTGGCGCAGAGGGTCTGGTGGGGGGTTATATATTGACATCGTAGTTTCTTTTGTTCACAGGCAGTGCTGCAAAAGCTCTTGAGCCGGCCTGTTGGAATGGACTTAGATGATAAATTTCGTGAGAAAGGTATGACCTTTTCCCCTGTCATCTCAATTCAAGGTTGGCTTGTATTGGTAGCTACAAATAAGCAAGATTGAATTGAATGAAATGGGTAGTGTGGTGGTCATGCAGTAACTCCATTGATGTACATGCTATGGTTACTGATCTGAAGTGTCGGTCCATCAATGTCAATGTCAAGATCAAATGAGGGACCTGGGTCCATTCTTTGACTTTCCTGTTAATTTGTGTCTTTACACTGGACCAACATGTTTGATTATTTCTTTTGCACCACGATAAATTTACATTTACTCAAAACATATCCAGTGGAACAGAAGGCTAAGTTGATGGAATTGTGATGATGAAGACTCTTATGTACCCGTATTATCGGTTTCCTGTTCTGTTCTTGCTGACGTGTCCATCGTTTATGAGTTTGAATATGCGGTAAGAGGAAATGTTTAGAAGTCTATCTTATCTAGAAATCAGATGAGAAAGAATGATTATGTGGAAGCTGACCAGTTAGATCTATGCTTTTATGTTAGATGCTCAAATTGTATCGGAATATCATTTCCTGTCTGAATTACCAAAGGATTATGCTTCCTCTCTGACTCATGTCTTGGTTTCTTCGTCTGCATGGTTTGTTGTTTTACTTTCTTATTGCCTTTAGTTCATTGCTTGGTTGGAGAATCTTACAAACTTAATAATTTCAGATGAGCTCTCTGCATTATTAATGGGACAAGTTTTCCAGCGAATTTAAGTACTCTCAATTTCTAAAGTTGGTGCGTTGTCTCTCCAGTTTCTGGTGTTCAAAGCCTTTCTTCCAGTGTCCAAAGCACCCCAGAGAAAAATGTTAACTCCGATGATGCTTTAAGAAGTCCAGAACTAATTCAAGAGTTCCTGAAATCTTCTGGTCCCAAAAAGGAACTTCTTCGTACTTGCTTTGATAAGGACAAGAAGCTATCACCATCGTTTAAAGGCAAAATGACAGAACTGAAGTCGTTGGGTAGCAAAACAATAAAGAAGTTGGAATCCAAGAAAACGTCTCCTACCACCAATAATCAACCTTCAAAGAAGCAGAAGAGGAAGGGAGAAAACCCCATTCGAATAATACCTGCACCAGACCAGTCTCCCAATTTTGTGAGTTCAAACTCTTGGATATGTAAAAATGCTGCCTGCAGAGCTGTCTTATCCATTGATGACTCATTCTGCAAGAGGTGTTCTTGCTGCATCTGTCATTCCTTTGATGAGAATAAAGACCCTAGTCTGTGGTTGTTCTGCTCATCTGAAGCAGCTAATGAGGATTCTTGTGGGCTCTCATGTCACATTGAGTGCGCCTTTCAGCATGAAAAGGTTGGTGTTGTTGATCACGGACAACTCATGCAGCTAGACGGCAGTTATTGCTGCGCTTCTTGTGGTAAAGTATCAGGGATTATCGAGTAAGTAGTCCATTTGCAGCCCCCCACCCCCCGCCCTCTTAGATTTTGATTGTTCTTCATCTACTATTCCTGCTGATTCTTAAATTGCTCCAGTGGTTCCTTATTGAGATGCTACATTGCAACAGAAAAAGAAAATAGCCAACTAGAACAATGGTTTTTTGTGTCACTGTGCGCATTTGGTGGTACAGCAATAGTTTTCGGCTGACATGTTCCATTTTCTACTGGCAGATCCTGGAAGAAACAGCTCACTATTGCAAAAGATGCCCGTCGTGTTGATCTGCTGTGCTATAGGATATACCTATGTTATAGACTTCTTGATGGAACTTCAAGATTCAAAGAGTTGCATGAACCCATAAAAGAAGCCAAAGCCAAACTAGAAACCGAGGTTGGTCCGTTAGATGGCGTTTCTGCAAAGATGGCACGAGGCATCGTCAGCAGACTCCCCATTGCTGCTGATGTGCATAAACTATGCACTCTTGCAACTGAAAGAGCAGACGAATGGCTGGGTTCAGCTTCTAATGTCAATTCTAGCTGCAGAGGTTTGATTCCTCTAGTTGATCTTGTGGTTCCATGTCGAAAAAGCCCTCTATATTTGGCAGAAGGATTAATCAATTCGTGTTTTTCCATCTCAGCAGAGGGCTCACTGCCCGCTGCCTGCAGGTTTTTCTTCGAAGAAGTGACAGCATCATCCGTCATAATTATCCTGATCGAAATGTCTGCATCATCATCCGACGATATAAAGGGCTACAAACTCTGGTATACCAAGAGCAGAGAAGAGACTCCTCCAAAGGAACCTATTTCCGTGTTCCCCAAGACTCAGAGGAGGATTCTGATATCAAATCTGCAGCCCTGCACAGAGTACACCTTCCGAATCGTGTCATACACAGAATCTGGCGACTTGGGTCACTCAGAAGCCAAGTGTTTCACCAAGAGCGTAGAGATTTTCCGCAAGCTTCCCAGCTCTTCTTCAGCTGCAGCAAATGGTGGTACGAAAGACGACAACACCAACAACGAAGGAGGAAGCACCTCCAAAGCCACTACAGAAGGCAGCAGTGACCTCTCCGGATTCAGGGTTCGAGAACTCGGGAAGATCATCCGCATGGCGTGGGCTCAGGAGCGAGCCTGCTCCGATGGCTATTGCTGTGATGCTGCCGATTCGGCAAAACCAGAGTCCACTCAGGATCACGAGCTGCCCGCTTCTTCCTCACGGCAACTCGATCTCAACGTCATGTCCGTTCCCGACTTGAACGAAGAGCTCACCCCTCCCTTCGAGTCGTCCAGAGACGAGGATAACGACTGCACTCTGGAGGAGCACGCCGTGGAGGCAGCAGACGACGATGCTGCTTCTCACGACAACATAAAGAAGGGCAGTTTAGCTAGATCGAATGGCAGCGGCGACTCAGCCCCCGCTGTTGATTCCCGGGGAGATAATAGGAAAAGGCCAGCCCCGTCGCAGCAGCATCAAAGGGCCAACGAGGAGGTCCATGACTGCGACAGCACTCTCATCAACGGCTCGCCATTTCGCCCGTCCAGGGGCTCCGGTTCGTTGGACGAGAACTTCGAGTCGTGTGTGAAAATAATCCGGTGGCTCGAATGTGGTGGGCATATTGATCAGGAGTTCCGCCTGAAGTTGCTCACTTGGTTTAGCTTGAGGTCCACGGAACAGGAACGGAGGGTTGTTCATACTTTCATCCGGACTATGATCGACGACCCGAGTAGCCTAGCAGAACAACTGATCGACTCGTTCTCAGATATCGTATCGAACAAGAGGCCGCGGAATGGCTTCTGCAGTAAGTTATGGCATTGAGGAAAGAACTTTGTAGGAACCGGTGAAGGGAGAAAGGGGAAATTTCTTTGTTCCCGCTTTCCTCCTTCCTTTTGCAGTGCGGTTCGGTTTCTTGGGTTTACTCAGCCCGTATTCATACAGCGGGGTAAACTCAAAAGTCTAATCGGGCATTTGAATTGTTCTCAGGGCATAAAATTACTGTAGCTGTAGACTGTAGAGTACTTACTGAAGGATAATCATCTAAATTCTGAATCTCCAATGTGTAATGGATAAATCGTCATTATTTTTTAACCTTTCTTCCATTCAAAGAAGGGGAAATCGAATTGATGGCAGATTCTTAGTCCTCTGTTTTTTAGAGTTCTTTTTTGTCATGCGATTTTCGTTATATTTTTCATGAAATCTCGATCGAGAAGGTAGAAAAGGATGCTTACTTGAATTTCGATTTAACTCACTGTGTGTATATGATTTTAACCTCCAATTAATGATTCATTCAATCATTCTTGTTTAGATCATTGTAAAATAACAGTGAACATATGTTAAGTATTATTACATCATCAATTATTCTACGTACTAATAAACTTTTTGTACTTTTTTTAGAAGGAAATAACAGGATTGCGGGAAACAATGGCATAATGACCTGGAGCGGAAGAGGTGGGGCCCGCTACTCTATTTCTTTTCTAAATGATCTTTTCGGCTTTTTCCCCCCAATCGAGTGCCAACAAGGCGAGTCTCTATTATTTGTCAACTGAATTTGCCAAGTCAGCAACCTCAGAGGCCCACCACATCCCCGTGCAGCCGCAAAGAGCGGGGAGCCAAACGGCCCCGACGACGCCGTTTCAAGCAGCACTGACACTCGGTTCAAATGATATATAAGGCTGCAGCGAGAAAATCTGAGGCTCAGAAAGGCCCGTTGCTTCTCTCCCGCCACACTCTCCCAAGAAAGCAAGAATGGAGATTCTCTCAGCTCCATCGTCCCGCTTTCTCCCCTTCGAAAACTCGAAGCTGCAATCAAAGCAGCCAGGTTAGATTCCAACTCTTCGCTCGTTGAAATTCCTTTCCGCCATTGATGAATCCATCTCCTCTCCATTACGCTGCTCTGTTAGCTCCCGTTCTTCTCTCGTTTTCTTGAGCTCGAAATTCCGGTACTCGGCGTTTCAGGAATCGCCCCGCCTGAGAAGTGGCTCCAGTTCCTATCGGCGACGAGTTCGTCCTCTTCGCTACTTACTCCTCTGAGAAGTAGCAGTAGTTCTTCGAAGCCGTCCTTCTGCTTCACTACGAGAGCTGCTTCCGCCACTGAAGGTAATTTTTAAGTTCGGTATAAGCTCTGGATGTGCGATTTCGTTTTTCCTGTGTTTAATGGCGGAATTCTTGGTGGAAAAACGTCCAGTTGCCGCTTCTGAATCGTCGGCCGAATTGAGCTCATCCGCAGAGAGCGACGTGCTGAATGCCCTGTCTCAGATCATCGATCCTGATTTCGGAAAGGACATTGTGAGTTGTGGATTTGTCAAAGATCTAGAGATCGATGAAGGTCAAGGAAAGGTAGTAGCTAATTTCTCGTCGAAGAGGATAAGTAAACACTCGGAATTTTGTTGAATTGTTCGTCGTTTTCTTTGCCGCTAGGTTTCGTTTAGGTTGGAGCTTACTACGCCGGCTTGTCCAATCAAGGACTTGGTTAGTTCCTTCACCTTGTTGTGATTAGTTGTTCGTTCGATATGGCATTTGATTGGTGTTAATTTGGTTGAGATCCTACTTGTGCGTATTTCAGTTTGAGCAGCAGGCCAATGAGGTGGTCGCTGGGCTGCCATGGGTGAAGAATGTTAGTGTGACAATGTCAGCACAGCCAGCTAAACCTATGTACGCGGGAGTACTTCCTCCTGGTTTGCAGACCGTTTCGAATATCGTTGCAGTTTCAAGTTGCAAGGTTAGATTACCATGCGCTTGTATCTTCTTGATTTGACGAATGATTGTGCTCACTGTGGTTGTTTGTTAGTCTTGTTATCGGCTTCGTGTTCATTGGTTTTACATACCGAAAAGTTGTGCAGGGAGGGGTGGGGAAATCAACTGTTGCTGTGAATCTTGCATATACTCTGGCTGGTATGGGTGCTAGAGTTGGGATATTTGATGCTGATGTGTATGGTCCTAGTTTACCAACAATGGTCTCTCCTGAGAACCGGTTGCTGATGATGGTAAACATGTCTAGACCTCTAGTATACTAAAACCAGTTCAGTTAGTTGAAATGAAAATGGTGGATTCGGACTGAACTGAATTCTTGTTACCAGAACCCAGAGAATAGAAGTATTATACCTACTGAATACATGGGAGTGAAGTTGGTTTCGTACGGGTTTGCTGGACAAGGTCGCGCAATAATGAGGGGTCCAATGGTGTCAGGAGTTATCAACCAGCTTCTCACGACTACTGAGTGGTGAGTTTATAGAGTGAATTAACACGTTTACACCATCCGAACTAGAAACTATGGCCTTGTGTGCATAATCTGTATATCCTAGCAGAATACCATAACCTCCGTTTTCACAATTTATCTGGATTCTTGAATACAGGGGAGAGCTGGATTACCTTATCATTGACATGCCTCCTGGGACTGGCGATATACAGATTACTTTATGCCAGGTTGTCCCACTGACTGCTGCTGTTATCGTGACCACCCCTCAGAAGCTTTCATTCATCGATGTTGCAAAGGGTGTTCGGATGTTTTCAAAGCTTAAGGTATGTGCCCCGCCATTCTTACCATGATTCCAACAACGTTTAGTGGTTCTGTTGATGAGAAGCATATTGATAGGTTTCAAATGTTTCCAAGTCACTTTTAATTGCTGTGATAATGTATTCATGTTGTTTTCTTTCAAGCATATAGGTGCCTTGCGTTGCTGTAGTGGAGAATTTGCACCACTTCGATGCTGGTGGATACCGATATTACCCTTTTGGCAGAGGATCCGGTTCTCAGGCATGTATACTTATCATCATCCACTTCTTTGCTTCCCAGTTGAAGGTTCAAGACTTTATTACGAAACTGCTGGTTCGTGTCGAATTTCACAGATTGTTGAGAAACTTGGGATCCCTCATCTGTTTGATCTTCCCATCAGGCCAACTGTAAGTCCATTGACTAATCCGTTCCGTAATTATTTCAATTCAAATACTCTTCGCTACATTTTGAGAATGTCTTAAGATATTCGATACCTGCCACAAATGCATAAAGTAACATGAAGTCGCTGATTCATGGTTCATTAGCTATCTGCCCATGGGGATAATGGGATGCCTGAAGTGGTTGCTGATCCTCTAGGCGAAGTTGCAAAGACGTTCCAGGACCTCGGAGTTTGTCTTGTGCAACAATGTGCTAAAATACGTCAACGGGGTATAACATATTTGGCTTCTTGTACCGGTTGGCAGCCTTCAAATGTACTCGGTCATAACATAATTGCTTGACCTGTACTCTCTCCACTGTAGTTTCAACTGCGGTCACTTATGATACATCGATGAAGGCGATCAAAGTGAAGCTGCCAAATTCAGAAGAAGAGTTCCTCCTCCATCCTGCAACAGTAAGGCGAAACGATCGTTCTGCACAAAGCGTGGTACGTGCTGATGATCTCCTCTCGAAGAGTTGCCAGAAATGTCCTGCTAAAATTTGTTTCCATCTTAGTATTTAAGCCATCTGATGGCTGCTCTCTTCCCCTTTTGTTCAAACTTCAAATACAGGACGAATGGACAGGGGAGCAGAAGCTGTTGTACTCTGATGTCCCGGAAGATATTGAACCTGTAGACATTCGGCCACTGGGAAACTACGCAGTCGAAATAACATGGCCAGACGGATTCAACCAGGTAATTTTAACCTCTTTTCCCGTACATTGTCTACCATTGAATATTGATACCACTTCTTGGTAAGCTACCAACCATTCACTAGCATGCGAATTATAGCTTTCTATTCCTTCACCAACTACCACGGTGTTGAATAGTCCACATACACGTCTCATTCACGATCCAAAAAGAGCCCAAAAAAAGTCTACCCAATGAATTGAATTGAATTACATTACCTACTCTCTCCTCTCTGTGGGCTTACACCCAACAAGAATCTTTACCTCCCTTTTCCCTTTGTTCATAATGTTGACCAGATTGCTCCTTACGATCAATTGCAAGAGATGGAGAGGCTGGTCGGCGATACCTTCCCCTTTTAAGCAGCTAACCATCCACCCTCTTCATTTTGATCACCACTCTTGCCTGCGCACAAGCTTTGTCAAAAGTACAGCATGATGAAGGTTTACTGTTAGCATAGGCCAGTGAGTCTACCACTGAATAGAGAGGGAGTGCCAAATCTTCTCCTGATAGTAATTGACGTCGATGTCATGATAGTCTCAATCTGTCTTCTTCGCATACGGGTCGGGTCACGTTTGTTTGTTGGGTTGTACAGTGGGGAAATTCTACGTACATTTTGGTCAAAGAAAGCTGACGATGAACAGTACGCGCAAAAATCTGATTACCGAGCAGAGACTTCTGTATAGTGACATTTCGTTTATCGAGCAGTCTTTCTCTATGATTTTGGTTTTTTGTGGAATCGTCGGCAGTCATTTCAGGTTCTGTAGTGTGGGGGAGTCTGAACACAGTAGCAGGCCAGCAGCATGCACTGCGCAGCCGCTGCTGTTGACAATTTGTATTAGACATGTGACCAAATTAGACAGATGATGGCACGACTTCCAACTTGTTAGCTGGATCTCAAATCCCAAACCGGAAAATTCCGTCCATTTTTAGGACGCTAGTTTTCTCATGGCAATCTGCTTCTTGTCTCATCCCAACTGGTATGGGAAAGCGGATTCGGTTCAAATAGTACACGATTTGTTTGGCACGAGTTAACTCAAAATTTCCTTTTATATTTGAAAAGAATCTGGCTATTATGCTGACGCGACGCAATCAGCACATGCCAACGTTGTTGTTGAATTTGCCCTCCGTCAGATTCCCGACCATTGGATTGAACATAGTGAATTTTTCTTTTTCAAATTAATGTCATGAAATCAATCCGACGAATGTGATTGCTCGGTGGCGATCCAACAGTGTCAGTTTGCTCGACATTCAGGCAGTTGATCTGGAAAAAAAAAAAAGGAACGGATCGAGTGGGTCACAATCACAGCAGTAGGAAGCATGGTAAAGGAAACCGGATCGTACCGGCCGGTTGAACCGGTAAAACCGGATACCGGAGCACGGACGATACGATACCGTGTTTGGGGGCAGAATATCGTGCCGGCCGGTTTAAAAGGTTTAAACGGTTTAAACCGAAATACCGGCCGGTTTTGGTCTAACCGGGGGCAGGGTAAATTGAAAGAAAACGTCGCCGTATTAGCAAAAAAAAAAAAAAATTGAAAACCCTAATCAATCGAACGAAACACAGCCGCCACTTTCTTCTTCGTTCTTCCCAGTTCTGCAGTTCTCCTCTTCTTCTTCAATTCAATCGGCGCTCCTCCTCTTCTCCATTGGCGACCGGCGACCAGGAACCTCCAAGCCCGGTGACCAGCGACCGGCGGCAAGGCGACCCGCCGCGGTCCCTGCTTTGCTCCGCTCCACCGACCGCCGACCTGATCTGCTTCTCTGCTCCTCTCCAGCGCTCCTCTCCGGCGCTCCATTGCTCCTCTCCGGCCTCCGCTGCTCCTCTATCTTCTTCCCTATCTTCCTTTTCTTCCACCGCAATCGGTTTCCTCCTCTCGTGGTGCCATCTCATTCTTCTCCTCCTTATCAAACAAATCCGGTCAATCTAGAACAGAGGTAGCCGGCAGATGAATCTTTGGAGGACGGGAGGCAGAGGAAGGTTAGATCTAGGTTTTGGAGGACGAGCAACGAAGCATAAGGAGAGGGATGGGTGGCGACGAGGGGAAGAAGGGAACTAGTTGTTCTGGGGACGAGGGGAGATCTGGAAATCAATGGGTCGGTAGGTGGCTGGATCTGAAAGACCAACCACGTCACCAACAAACAACACTTTGTATAATGATGATTAACATGTTTATAATTTCCTGCGGTGTGGTTTGAGTTGTACCACATTTAGTTTAACATAATTATTAACATATTTAGTTTATTTAGGTTTGTTATCCGATATATTTCGGTTTTATTCCGGTATTATTCCGAAACGGTATCACAAATCTGTCGATACGGTTTTTTAACAAAAAAATATTATTTAATTACAAAAACGGTATTTTGCCGGTACACAACGGTTGAACCACGGTAGTACCACAAAATACCCTACCACTAGCGGAGCCGGTATGACTTCCGGTACGGTTTCCTTTACCATGGTAGGAAGGTCGATCATATCATATCATATCCGTGTGACGTTATTCACCTTGATGAACGACAGTATATTAGGCACCGGCCTCTTAAATGAATGAAGATAGGAAGGAGGAAGGAGTGTTGTGATGGCGCAAGGAACTGTCAGTTTCAGGCTCCTTTATTACATAGAAAGAAGCTTCTCCAAAATGGATTTGATTTGTTGAATGAGAAGTAAAGTTTGCATTAGTGAGTCCAGCAGCAGCTGCTGCACCAACTCTTACCATTGCCCTTTTCATTTTAAATGCTTCTCTCTCTCTCTCTCTCTCTCTCTTTTGGGATATTTGACTCGTGATGTTGGTACCTGTCAACTACTAAAGGAGAAAGCTCAAAAGAGAGGGGAGCTTCTTTCTCTCTCTGTAACAGTTTGATTGTGCAGTTAGGGCTGGGCATGCGGGCGGATCATCCGCGGGTTTGGGCCGACCCACCCGCATTTCACCCGAATTTCGTTAAGTGGGTGAGTCTGTGGGTGGGTGACGGGTTGGGCTGGGAGCCATCCGCCGGGTGGTGGGTGGGTTGTGGGTGAGTGTGCGGGTGACCCGCTCAACCCAACAGCAAAAAGATCAAAGTCGTTGGCGCTAGAGAGAGGAGAGTGGAGACGTTAGATATAAATTCGGACTGCTCCTGGAGTTTGAACCTCAAAGCCAACCTTCCAAATAGAGATCCCCTCTTCTTCCCTTTACTTTTCCCTCTAATTCTTGTGCCTAGATCACCGCTCTTTCCTTTGTGGAATTATTTTCCTTAGTTCCTTGCACCTAATAATCGTCTCAATCTGTAGAGAACTCTTTCATAATAGAATTTCTATCCAATTTAAGAACTAATTCGACATTTTTCGCCCTATTTCAACTTCTTGTTTCCCTCGATGATTCTCTTCACCTATTATCATGTCAAGTTAACTCATTTATATTATATACATTGTGATGTGGGTGAACCCACAAACCCACCCGCATCATCCACCATCCGCCCGACCCAACCCGAGACTAAATGTGGGTGGGTGGTGGGTTAAAAATTATCAATCCGTTTAAGCGCGGGTGGGTGCATTTTATGGTCAAAATCCACCCGACCCACCCCTATGTGCAGTTGCTACTGCCTTCCATGAACAAAAAAGTGAAGATGAAAGGGAAAAACGGATGCACCAGCCGGGAATTGAACCCGGGTCTGTACCGTGGCAGGGTACTATTCTACCACTAGACCACTGGTGCGTCTGATGTTTAGAATTTGCTTCTTTTATCTAACACTATCCCAGTATTTAACAAATACCTGAAAAGTTTATGCGATGGGATGATTCCAGCATAACATTCTGTTGATTCGGTTCCCCAGAAGTTCCCTCAGAAGTCAAACTAATAAATAGTGAAAATCAAACCTAAAAAACACACAGTTCCAAGTTCCAACTTTATTTCTTACCGCTCGAGCTATCCCATTAGACGATTCGGTTCAAATGGCCAATTCATTGTTTGTACGAAAGCAGGGGAGAGATCAATCCATTGAATAGACAGAGATTCACTTCACCTGTCTCCTTCAAAGATATTGCGGGCAACCATCTGTTCCTACTTTTTGAAGATGCATGGTAGGTCGGTTAGATTTTAAGTAACCGCTTTAACTTTCTTTCGGTGTGTCTATAGTAACACTCTTTATCACTTTCATTGTAAAAATATCTTCTGTGTTCGTAGCGGTGAGCAGGACTTTGACATTTCACGGATAAAGAAAGTACGCGAATCAAACATCAATTATTTTTTTTTAAAATAAATAATATCGATCTAATTCCATTTAACCAGACAAAACTCCATGATTGTTTGAATTTTACTTTTATTGTTATGACGTTGTATATTTAGCACATAGGTTCAAATCTACTCAAATCGTGCTATGTGTACAAGAAATTTGGGCATACATTTTGAGTTTTTTTCTTGCCACTTTCTCTTTCTATTTATTACAAGTTTTTTCTCTTTTAATAAGGGATGTGTTATAGTAATTGTATTACCTATTCTATAGGAATTGGTTAGGAATAATTAGTTATATAGGTTGTTAGTTGTTCTTTGCTAGCTAGCTAGGATGAAAGAGTCAAACTTCAAAGTCAATATCCATTTATAAATAAACATTTAACATGAGATGCATGTCTTAACAATTTATTTGATTTTAATTAGGTGCTGACACATAACTAGGTTTGTGGAAAAGTTAGTTCCAACAAATGTCAACAACTACCATACATATGTGGGAATAAGTACCTAACTTTAAAAGACCAGCAAATAAAAAGGTTAAATTTCTTTTTAGTCACTAAACTGTGCACTTGCTATCAACATTTCATGTACTATACAATTTATTCTTTTAGCTCCTGGTTTTTGAACTATACATTTCATGTACAATTCTCTGCTGGATATCTGTTATCAACTCTTTCTAGATCTGTAAGCGACATATTAGTCAATCTAAGTACAAAAACATAAGCTTTAAGGGGATTTTTCAACTTCCAATCTCATTCATTTCCTCAAAATTAGGTGTTTTTTTTTTGTCGGTGTGACTTGGGAGTCTCATGGTCGAACACTTTGGCTAAACTGGCTAATTGAGATTGTTTGAAGAGAGTATATGTATTTTATACCGACCAAATCACGTCGAAGCCACTGTTTTATCTTATTCATTAATTATTGTAAGGGGTTAGGGGGTACTTTGGTTCTTCTTCTATGTTTAGGTAGGTAAGGGTTTGAGGTGAACTTTACACAATGTAATATAGTTGTTTTGTCCAACTAATAACCCAATCAAGCAATTAACAAAAGTATTATTCAACTTATCCCTCCTTTCGTTCTTTCTCTCTAATTCTCTCAAATCCATTCTTCTCAAACCCTATTTATGTTCTGCATCTTCCTCAATTTTTTTTATAAGGTTGATATAGATTCCATATTTTTATTTATTAAGGTACTACTTAAAGAATTCAAACCTGAAACCTTCAGATTTTAGCCTAATGGCATTACCACCAGGCCAAACCCTTTTTCGTTAAAATTATAGGAGGTCGGTACATCTTTCTCAATTTTTACCTACCTCCTATAATTTATATTTCAATTAGTTGGTATAAGGTGCCAAAATCTAATCTATATCAGTTTCATGAACAAAGTAACTTCAACCCAAAAAAAAACCCTGAATGGATAAATCATGTTGTGGAGTGTCTCACTACATTCAAGTAGCTAGAGAAGGGCACCATCCAAATCTCAATACAACCATCCAAAAATCAAATCCATTAATTTATTTCATAGAGGAATTTCAGGCTAAATCTTATCAACTAATTTGATCATTGGACTTCACCATAAAGTATGAATGAAAAAATGTTGCTGTCTCGCCTCTCTATTGGTTGGCAATTATTATAAATTTATTACGGTTAATTTTCCAAGTTATTGAGATATTTTTAAGAAAATAATTAATGACGATCATTTTAGT